AGAAATCAAGTAGAGACAATTCTTTGAATGCTTTGACACAAAAGGAAGGTAATGTTGAGTGGTGTGGCTCATGTGGCTCATCTGAGGATTGGGATTTGATGCCAGCCCTGGCAGGAAAAGTCTGTGAGGCTCTTACATCCACTTAACCAGGAAAAAGCCAGGAATGGAACTGTGGCTCAAGTAGTAGAATACTAACCTTGACCAAAAACGCTTAAGGGACAATGCCCAGGCCCTGAGTTTAAGCTCCACTACACACACACACACACACACACACACACACACACACAGAGCAGGCTTGGGGAAGCAGGAGAGTTTGAGACTAACCCAAGTCCTGCCAAGAAAAGAAAAGAAAGACAAAAATGTTGTATTTAAGATAGGAGAGGGAATAGCACATTTGATTCTGATGGGGGATACTCCTATAGAAAGCCTGATGACATGTTGGAGATAATGAATCCCTGAAGCCATGCTTTCAAGCTGATTAGATGGGATCTTGTTGAATATCACCTGTTTGCCTTGGAGCAGTTCCAGCTTCTGCTAGTTCTGGTGACCTCAGTGTTCTCTTTTACTCTCTTGTATGCAAGTTTTGGACAATAAATTTATGACTACCCTGGATCTAGCTCACCAATGGAGGAACTGGCTTAAGATGATATGCTAGATTAAGTGGGTTCAGATGCATAAGTAGATGTGCTTCTGAGACTAGCGTCATCGTCATTCCTCTTCTCCTCCTCCTCCCCCTTCTCCTCCTTTTCCTCCTCCTTCTCCTTCTTTTCCTTCTTCTCCTCCTCCTCTTCTTGTTTTTTCTTTTTTTTTTTTTTTGTCGGTCGTGGGGCTTGAACTCTGGGCCTGGGCGCTGTCCCTCAGCTCTTCAGCTCAAGGCGAGCACTCTACCACTTGAGCTACAGCGCCACTTCCGGTTTTCTGGTGGTTTATTGGAGATAGGAGTCTCACGGTCTCTCCTGCCCAGGCTGGCTTTGAACCGCGATCCTCAGATCTCAGCCTCCTGAGTAGCTAGGATTACAGGCGTGAGCCGACGCCCGGCTCTCCTCCTCTTCTTGCTCCTCATCCTCATCCTCTTCCTCCTCCTCCTCCTTTTTTTCTTCTTTTATGCTGGCACCAGGGCTTGAATTTAGGACCTTCATTTCTTGCTTTTTTCTGCTCAAGGCTGGTGCTCTACCACTTGAGCCACACCTCCACTTCTAGCTTTTTGCTGGCTAATTGAAAGTAGGAGTCTCACAGAGTTTTCTGCCCAGGCTGGCTCTGAACTACACTTCTTAGATCTCAGCCTCCTGAGTAACTAGGATTATAGATGTGAGCCACCAAAACCTGCCTGGCAGTTGTCTTTTAATGCTTCTGTTTGTTACAGTGATGTTGGAAGCAGGGTCACCAGTTAAAGTGAGGAGGGGATAGAGGTTGTTGGAGCCCTGGGGAGACAGTAGTAGGAGCAAAATAATGGTGCTCCTCTTTTCTTTTTCTGATCTCCCCACCCTTGTGGGTTGTATACTCTTATTGAACAGATTGTTAGCTCCTTGTACATGGCAGTAACATTAGGTGATTTAATCTTGGAGTGATTTAGGAAATTTGACACAAGAGAAACAAGAACTAAAATTGAAAGAGCTAATGAAGGAGAGGAGTATTTAGGAAGTGCTGATGATCTCTGGTTAGTAGGCAATTGGAAAGAGCAGTTGCACATTAGCTTTGAACTTGAATCTTAAGTACCTCATTCTTTTTGCTTTGCCCATCTTTACTAATTGTCTACAATACCCTAAGGATTTGGTTTAATTAATTCAGTGTTAAAGCAGAGATCCACAGTGGAGTTTTAATTTTAAAACATCCTTTTTATAGTCTCATGTTCCAGCACAATAAATTCCCTGTTTAATTAAAAGTGTGATTAAACTAGAACCCACAAAATACCATTAATAAAGGGCTGGTTTTTTTTTTAAATAGATTCCTGAGCAGATTCAAAGGTTGACCCAGAAATTTTTATAGCTTAGATGTATTTGAATAATTTAATATAGGCTTTAATAGGCCAAAGCCAAAAAGGCATAATTTCTTGTGATTATTAAAGAAATAAAAGTAGAATATGTATTTGAAATAATTGCTAAGTCGGTGCGAATAGACTTTTTGGTGTTACTCTGCAAATATCTGGCATCAGTCCACCACAAGATGGCAGTAACAGTCAACCATTAAAGTGTAACCCAAAAGCTCAGGAGGCTACTTTGGAGAAATCAGTCATTAGAGTGTTTATTGACACAAACATCTCTGTAAAGGACAGGGGAACAGGAACCACTTCCCAGACTGTTGGAGCTCTTTTCCCTGGCAACAATAAGGCAGGAAATAAGCAACAAGAGCTTATGAAAGAAAGCAACCTCACTCCTCATCTTCAGGTCCTTGAGTCACCATGGAGATGGTGACTAGCTTAGTAATGGCTGCAGATTAATAATGGCTACAGATAGAACTCTGCTGGCTGAAGCTCAGCTAAGAAGAACGAACGTGGCAATGCTATTATTGGAACAGAGTTCCTAATAGGCTCTGGAAAGGCAGAATAAAGCTGGGGAAGCCACAGCACTGTTTTATCTTTAAAAATTGGGACTGGCTTTTCCTAGGGTGAACCTATATTTTATGTGATTTAGATTCGTAACCCTGGAACACTAAGATAATCAAAATGATCTTTGGAAATCTGTAACATTACCTTGTAAAGTTTCCAGAAAGCTAATTAGTAAAAAGAGGGATTATGACAAAGGTACCCTTAATCTTTTAAGTATGTATTTTGATTGCTCTAGTATTGCCCATAAAATGAGATAAATGATGTATTTTTAATGTATTCTTATGACTGGCATCTGTTTTTGTTTTTCATTCATTATCATCACTAATGTTATTGAGCTATAGTCTGGAAAAATGTTTATTATTTGAAAAAACAAATTAAATTACGCTTTAATGTTATTTTAGTTCAACATTAGTTGAACACTTACCATTGAATGGAGAAAAACAATGACTTTGTGTTAGAGAGAATCTTGGAAAATTAATTATATCCATATGTTTTAAGTTGGCTTCAAATAAAAATGGAGACTTATGAATATTTCCCATGTTTTATGTGCCTTCCTATGACATATTGTAGCTTTTGTCATAGAAATAGTTCTGGCAGACTAAATCTAACTCAAGCAAAAGAACCTTGTTCTTTGTGTTGATAGAAGACAGAGAAAGAAAACACATTGTTTTTAAAGTCTAGTAGATAATTGTGGTTGTTAATAAGCTATTGGATAGACTTTATAGTTAAAACTTACATACTATGCCTGACTAGTCTCAGACATTTTTAAAGAAATAGAGTTATTATAGTCTCTACAACTGGGGCCCCTAGATCTGTTAATCTAGAAACTAAACTTACACACTATGCCTGACTAGTCTCAGACATTTTTAAAGAAATAGAGTTATTATAGTCTCTACAACTGGGGCCCCTAGATCTGTTAATCTAGAAACTCTATTTCTACAAAAGTCACCCTAGTTGGAAAACAGATTCTGGCACACTTGAGATTCATCAGATTGCTCAAGTCCAAATTGAACTCTCTATTAGTATGTTGGTGCCCAGACTGGAAGGAAAATGTACCAACTACCTGGAAAAGGAGAGATCACATGGTGGGTGTCCTCCCAGAGATGTTTTAGAGACAAACCCTTATTACATTCCAGCAAGTGATAGTTTCTGCGAAACTGAGTAGAGAAAATAGATCAGGATGTTGAATGTGTATTATGGTTTTTAATAAATAGTGGTGAAATATGTATTTAAAAAGCATAATAAGAACATTTATAAGTCAGGCACTGGTGGCTCAACCCTTTATTCCTAGCTACTCAGGAGACAGAGATCTGAGAACCCAGGTTCCAAGCCAGCCTAGGCAAGAAACCATAAGACTCTTATCTCCAGTTAACCACCAAAAAGCCAGAAGTGGAGCTGAGGTTCAAATGGTAGAGTACTAGCCTTGAGCAAAGAAGCTCAGCCACTAAGTTCAAGCCCCGTGACTGACAAAATACAACATACACATACAAACAACAACAACAACAACAAAAAACTGGTAGCTGACACCTTAATCCTAGTAAGCTATTCAGGAGGCCGATATCTGAAGATCATGATTCAAAGCTAGCCCAGGCAGGAAAGTCTGTAAGACCTTTGTCTCCAATTAACTACCAATATGCAGAAATGGAGAGCTGAGTCTCAAGTGGTAGAATGTTAGCCTTGAGTACAAACACTCAGGGATAGTGCTTAGGGCCTGTGTTCAAGCCCAGGATTGGCACCCCCCCAAAAAAATTTTTTTTATGTCTTCCTGTTCCCATTATATATTCCCACAACAACATAATAGTATTATCAATTTGGCATTAGTTTCATGCATGATTAATTCATTTTCTGTGTTTTTAGAATTCATAACAGTATAATACTATTTTCCAGGTTTTAAAACTTTTGAAAATTGTATCCAGATGTACATAACAATCTATACCATACTTTTTGGGTCCAATATATGAGATTTATCTATAATTTTCTTGATAAGTCACTAACTGCTATGTAGTATTCCATTAATATGAACATTCAAGATGTATCTACCTACTTTCTTATAATTACATATTTAGATGAAATTCTGCTGTGGTTTTCATCCAAAATATATCTAATGAAGTTAAACTGTAATATTAGAGCTTATATTTTGTGTGAATGTGTGGTCCTGGGGGCTTTATCTCAGGGATTGGGTGCTGTCTCTGAGTTTTTTTTCCTTTCTCAAGGCGAGTGCTGTACTACTTGAGCCACAGCTCCATTTTTGGCTTTTTGGTGGTTAGTTGGAGATAAAGAATCTCATAGACTTTCCTGGTCAGGCTGGCTTTGAACCACAATTCTCAGATATCAGCCTTCTGAGTAGCTAGAATCACAAGTGTGAGCCTCAAGCACTGGGCTAGAACTTACTACTTTAATAATGAAAGCACCAAATTATCCACACTAATTTCTGTTTGTTTGTTTCTTTCTGCAGGTTATTCTCGTATCCAAATATGGGAATTAGGTAATATTGTCATTGAGCTTTTATACCACTGGATTCACATCTGTTTGGCTCTCATAGACCTAAAGAAAAAAGCAAATGATGGATTTACACCTCCCTTGCCCTGCAGGAGTGAAAAATCAAACATAGTCAGAAATGGCAGTGACTAGTTAATGGACTTGGTACAGCATTTAGGATGCTTTGATCATGTTCAGTGTTGTTGGTTAATTATAAAATATTTTCAACAGAAAGGAAGGCTGCACAGACATCTTCTCATAGACATTTATGTCAGCACTTTCTAAAAGCACAAGTGCTACCTAAGGAGAAATTTTATGTAAAGTAACCACTGAAGGTCACCATAACCAGTAACATATTTAAGTATGTTCTAGAATATATTTTGAAAGTTCTTTTTTAGTTTAAGCTTTGTATCTGCCATGAGGTGATTTGGTGGATAGAGCGGTTTTATCTTTTTTCTTTTTTGAAGGTCCAAAGTAAAGGAAGATGGGAGTATTTAGTGGTGGGAAAATTGCAATTTTACATTAAAAGAGTACCAAATAATAAAGATTTTAAGAAACAGAATTGTTTTTCTAATTTTTCAGACTTAACTGAATACCAACACCATTTTCCCCCTTGCTCCCATCCCTCCATTCTCTTTCCCTTTCCTTAAAAGTCCTTCAAATGAGGGGCTAGGAAGGTGGCTCTGAGGCCCTGGGTTCGATTCCTCAGCACCATATAAGCAAAAAGAAAAAAGCCGGAAGTGGCGCTGTAGCTCATGTGGTAGAGTGCTAGCCTTGAGCTGAAGAGCTGAGGGACAGTGCCCAGGCCCAGAGTTCAGGCCCCATGACCGTACACCCCCCCCCCCCCAAAATAAAGTCCTTCAAATGAAAACTAATTCTTCTGGAAAGATGTTTGTAGTGGCATTGTGGCTCAAGTGGTAGAGCACTCAGCTTGAGCTGAAGAGCTGAGGGACAGCACCCAGGCTGAGTTCAAGCCCCATGACCAACCAAAAAAAAGTTTGTGATTCACAGAAAAAAGAAAACAGCATTTTTTTACATGACCAAAAAACCCCTCAAATTTGAAAAGTACAAAAGAAATGATTGCTTAAAGCTTGTTATTGTGACAAACTTACTACTACTCTGTTGTGAGATTTCATCTTCACAATATCTGAGTCCATTTTTTAATAAAAATTTGGGAAATTAATTTTTTTATTAGGTTGACAAAATGTGATGTGTTGCAGACATCTTATAATTGGAGATTGGCAGTCTCTTTTAACCTTTTCTGATAAGGTGGTGGTGTTATTACCAGGCCTCATATCTCCAAGGATCTGAGGCCCAATTCTACTTATCAGCCCATTTCATATTTGGAGAAGGGCATTTTCGGGCATTTGCAGCATATCTAGAAAACAATGTTTTTGAAGATATTAAACTGATAACCATATATCCTGATGGCTTCAGAACAAGCTTATAAAGAGTTCACTATGAATAAAAATGGCATTTTAAGCAGTAAGGAAGAATTTTGTAGAATGCTAAGTTTTGTTTTGTTGCTGGTACCAGGGCTTGAGCTCAGGGCCTCACATCTCCGCTTGGCTTTTTTGCTCAAAGCTCATGCTCTATCACTTGAGCCATGCCTCCACAGCTCAGGCTTTTTACAAGTTAATTGGAGGTAAGTGAATCACAAATTAGTCTGCTAGGGCTAGCTTTGAACCTTAAGCCTCTTGAGCAGCTAGAATTACAGGTGTGAACCCCCAATGCTCAGCTTAACTGTTTAAACAGATTAACTGTTTTTAACAGTTAATCGTGGGAATGAAGTTAACAAAATGACCTATAGCTTAATGATAGAATACGTTTTCATAGCAGTTTAACTTGTTTGAAGTATTTTACATACTAGCTCACTTGATCCTCTCATTAATCTGTCAGACAGGTAGTCCTGAAGCGATCTCCATTTATCTATATATGGGGGAACAGGTCCAAGGAGTGAGCAAACTGCCCAGCTACAACAACTAGTAAGAAGCAGGGTGCATCTAGCTTGTTCTAATTTCTGCCTTATTAACCTTTCCACTAGCCCAGACATCTCTCTGAGTCTAAGAACCACTACCGCTCCAACTACTTTCAAGTGAAATGGCCAACCCCAAAGGTTGAATTGATTTAACCATCATTCAAATAAAATGCTGTCCCTTAACAAATACCCAGAGTTTACTTTTCCAGTGAAGGGATGTTATTTATTCTTGATGAAAAATGCAATAGAGAAGCTGGGCAGTGGTGACTCACACCTGTAATCCTAGCCACGTAGGAGGCTGAGATTTGAGGATCAAGATTTAAAGCAGCCTGGGCAGGAAAGCCTGTGAGATTCTTAGTAGCGCTGTGGGTTGCTTAAGCTTGTGCCTTAAAGTGAAGAGCTCAGGACAGTGCCCATGCCCAGAGTTCAAGCCCCATAACTGACTAAAAATAATAAGTGCAATAGAGATAGTATCTAAATTATTTTACAAACCTCTAAATCCATTTAACAGATTTGTTGACTAACGTATATGTTTTAGAAGCTTAGAGAATTGGATTTTTACTGGATCTTTTCCCAAAGCATGTTAGGGTAGGAATATAGACTATCCAAATTACTTTCTTTTATAATTATGCCTCTCCATGTGTCAGGGACAACATGATATTTCAAAAGAATGACAATGGAATCTCAAAAATACCCCAGGATCTGGGGCTATAGCTTATTTAAGGTACTTGTCATGTGCAAGGCCCTGCATTTGATCTCCAGTACCATAAGAAAAAATAAAAATAAAGAAGCAATTTCTACTGGCTCTTTTAACAGCTTTATTGAAATATTTTATATGCCTTACAACTGACCCATCTGACATGTGTCATTCAATGGTATTTGTGTTCACAGAGCTGAACAAACATTGCAGTAGTCCATTTTAGAATGTTTTCACCAATCCCATAAGAACTTTACATCCATCAGCAGTGATATCTCAATTTCCCCTACCTCCTGCTCTAGGAAGCCATGAATATTCTGTTTGCTGTATGGGTATTCCTATGTGGACATTTCACATAAATGGATTCATGTAGTATGTGGTCTTCTATGCCTGGCTTCTTATTCCCTTTAAATATGATCCATCAATCAGTTTTCCCAAACTTCCCCTAACCCGCTAATTCAGAGAATTTCCTTTTCATACATGAGGTTTATGAAATCCAACTCCCTTAAAATCCCACCTCTGAAATGGAAACAAGAGGGTTTTTTTCTTTGTTGTTTTCTTTTTGTCTTATTCATTTATCTGTCTTTGGGAGGTTAAAGGGAGGAGGGAGACACATAAATGGAGGGACAAAGGGTGAACAAATGCAGTTGTTGAAAATGAACTACAACTCTGGGTTCTTACTCTCCCCTACATAATCGTTATCATAAGACCTCTCAATTGACACGGTAGTTGCCTTAAGCAGGAGTAATCACACATGGTAGGCATTTGATCTCGTGGTTAGTCATATTTTAGCTCTTCTCCATCTATTGTCTAAGCTTAGACTGCTTACAGTTTCCAACTGATAAGGCACCCCTCGACAGTCACATTTTGTTCCACTAAACTCTGACTCTCCAGCTTGTAGCTCTCTGAATTAAACTTGACTGCTTGCCAAATCAAGGCTAACATGAGGTAGAAAAGAAGCAAGACAGGAGAAACAAGAGCCAGGAATTCAAAGATGAACATATTGTTTCATTGAATAACTTGATTGAAAGCACACAGGGACTTCTTTACTCCTTGATTGTTCATATTCCCACAATGAGCTGCAACATATAATTTTTTAGTCGGTAGTGGGGCTTGAACTCTGGGCCTAGGTACTGTCCCTGAGCTCTTCAGCTCAAGGTTAGTGCTCTACCACTTGAGCCACAGTGCCACTTCTGTTTTTTTCTGTTCATATGGTGCTGAGGAATAGAACCCAGGGCCTCATGCATGCAAGGCAAGCATTCTACCACTGAGGCACCTTCCCAGCCCCATGCAACATATTTTTGTTTTTGTTTTTTGGTTGGTCGTGGGGCTTGAACTATGGGTCTGGGCACTGTCCCTGAGTATTTCAGCTCAAGACTAGTGCTCTACCACTTGAGCCACAGTGCCACTTCCGGTTTTCTGGTGGTTAAATGGAGATCAGAGTCTCACAGACTTTCTTTTTTTTTTTTTTGGGTCCGGTTGTGGGGCCTGAACTCTGGGCCTGGACGCTGTCCCTCAGCTCTTCAGCTCAAGGCTAGCGCTCTACCACTTGAGCCACAGCGCCACTTCCAGCTTTTTTCTTTTTGCTTATGTGGTGCTGAGGAATCGAACCCAGGGCCTCAGGCATGCAATGCAAGAGCTCTACCACTGAGCCACCTTCCCAGCCCCAGTCTCACAGACTTTCATGCCCGGGCTGGCTTTGAACCGTGATCCTCAGATCTCAGCCTCCTAAATTGCTAGGATTATAGGTGTGAGCCACCAGCAGCCAGCTGCAACATATAATTTTTAAAAGGCAATTTAAGAGTACAGAATTCAAATGAAAAAAATCATTATCCAGGATATTGAGCTGTCCCTAAGGTAATTCTGTGTTAACAATTCTGCATGCACCTTTAGAAAAAAATCCTGATGAAATCTGAAGAGCTAAGGGATGGTGCCCAAGCCCAGAGTTCAAGTCCCACAACTGATACAAATACACACAAAGAAATCCTGGTGAGGCTGAGAAGGTGGCTCAGTGGTAGAGTGCTTGCCTTGCATGCCAGAGGCCCTGGGTTCAATTCCTCAGCACCACATAAGGAAAAAGCCGGAAGTGGCACTGTGGCTCAAGTGGTAGCGTGCTAGCCTTGAGCTGAAGAGCTGAGGGACAGCGCTCAGGCCCAGAGTTCAGGCCCCACGACGGGACCCAAAAAAAAAAAAGAAATCCTGGTGATACTAGGGTTTGAACTCATGGCCTCACACTTGCTAAGCTGGTGTGATGCCACTTGAGCCAAGCCTCAAGTGGCTTGCTGCTTAGTTTGAGATAGAGTCTCACAAACTTTTCTGGCAAGACTGGCCTCAAACTGAGATCTTTTTGCTCTCAATCTCCTGAGTGGCTAGGAATGAGCCACCAATGCCAGACTTCCCCATTCACTGTTTCTTTTTTGTCAGTCATGGGGCCTGAACTCTGGGACTAGGCACTGTCCCTCAGCTCTTCAGCTCAAGACTCGCGCTCTACCGCTTGAGCCACAGCTCCACTTCCCACTTTTTCTGCTTATGTGGTACTGAGGAATTGAACCCAGGGCCTCATGCATGCAAGGCAAGCACTCTACCACTAAGCCACCTTCCCAGTCCCCCATTCACTCTTTTTAATTAAGCAAGGTAGACAGCCCTGAGCAGGGGCATTATTTTTATAACTTATTATTTTAAGCAAAGTAACATAAGCTATAGTTGAGTCATCCTATTGTACACGTTTAGTGAGACCACAGCATTTCCCAATCCCACTGTTACCAGGACTGGTAAGGCTCCAGGGAAGTCTCCAAAAGGGGGCCTCTATGTGGTCTTTGAGTACTGGATATGTGAAGCTGTTGCAAC